GGGGAGGGGGAGGAGGAGGAGGAGGAGGAGGAGGAGGAGGAGGAGGAGGAGGAGGAGGAGGAGGAGGGAGGAGGAGGGAGGAGGAGGAGGAGGAGGAGGAGGAGGAGGAGGAGGAGGGAGGAGGGGAGGAGGGGGAGGGAGGGGGAGGAGGATTTGGACGTCCGAAATGGGTACGGAAAGGATGGGTACAATGCCCAACAGCAAATGTTGTCCCAAACCAACAGCGGCCGCTGTTGGGCAGGCGGCCTGCTGTCTCAAGTGGACACAGGCCGCGGCGGCGCGGACAGCGAGTCCTGTTCAGAGTGAGCAGGAGCTGCTGCTGGGCAGCGTACCCCTTCTTTCCGTACCCGTCTCGTTCGTGCCGAGTTCCGCAGCCACAGGAAGGCCAGCTTCTCTCGGTCGCGCCGGGTGCGCGCCCAGACGAGGTCGAAGTTGTCGTAGCCGCAATAGTTCTGCGTCACGGCCACGGTGTCCTGCGGGCAGGAGGGCCCAGAACTCAATCGACGAGTCGGATCGGCGATCGAAATGAACCGGATCGGCGGAGAGCGGCAGCCAAGTCGGGAGAAGCCGAATCGGCGGGAGTCAGTAGGCTCGCGTGGGTTTCAATTCAGAAACCGGAATCCGCATCAGAATCCAAAATCAAAGTGGATCCGAATCGGAATCGATCAACATCGAATCAAATCGAGCCGGAAGAACCGAAATGAGCTCTGCCTCCATGTTCAGAGCACCGTGCCACCACTCGCTGGGCACGAATATGACCTCGCCCGGGTTCTGCACGGCCTCGTAGACCCGAACGTCAGGGTGCATGCGCTTGATCCGCGGCAGAATCCGCCACCGCTTCTGCGACTGTTGGCGTGCGGTGTCCTTGTTATTTTAGTGAGATCTGCTCATTGAGACGCAGTGCGCAGGGCACGCCTCGAGCCAAAGGCGCGTGTTCTTTCGGCCAACTCCACGTGCTGCCTACATGTTACTTCTACTTCTGATTATTATTGCTCTTCCTCTTTCGTCTCGTTTCGCACGGCGGCCTGAATCCTACCTGGACTAGCCAAACGCTTCAGATTGCGTTCACATCATGCATGCGCAAACCGCTCAACCATTCTACGCGCTACGCGGAAAAAGAGTCGGTCCGAGTCTCGAGGAATGTGCCTCCCATGGCGAGCTTGTGCTTGTCACCAAAAACGAAAGCAGATGCCGCGCAAGTTCTGCCCGGCGCGCCGAAATCTGTATGACCGATATCATTATTATTATTTGTCTTTTTCTTCTTATTCTTATTATGTTTCTTCTTCTTCTTCTTCTTCTTCTTATTATTATTCGTATTCTTCTCATTTTCTTTTTTTTTTCTGCTCGTTCTTCTTCTGCCTTCCACGCAAAGTTGGCATCCACATCAACGCTGTGGATGGTGAGTTCCATGGCGCGCCCTCTCCCCGATGCGCCCCCCGCCCCCCCCAGGCAAGCGAGGTGGCGGATCCGCCGGGCAGCGCGGCCAGATAAAGTCGAAGTACATGACGGCCTCGTCGTCCTCCCTCCCCTTGTCGATCAGGTCGGCACCCCTGGCGAGCCTCTTGGGAACCGACGGCTCGAACAGCACCCAACGCTTCTGCCCGTGCGTGACCGCGTTCCAGGCGCTGGTGCCCAGCGGGTCGATGTGCACGGACGTGCCGGATCGTCGGGGGCCTATGCTCCACCACCTGTGCGGTGGCTTCGCCTTGGAGTTGACGAGGTCGAACAGGTCGTGCGGGAAGGCCTCTGGCACGGCGAAGTCCTCCAGCAGCTGGCGGGCCACGGGCTCGCTCTCCACCCCCCCCTCGAAGAGGTACAGGGGGCTGTCGTCCTGCTGGTGGCGCATGTAGTCGACGAAGTACTTGAGCTTCATCCGCAGCCTCCGCCCCTTGTCGTCCTCGCCGACCTTGAACTCTGCCTGGCCGCACCGCGCGAGCAGAGAATCGATACCGGGCCCCCTGGGCCAGGACATTGCTGACCAGGGCTTTCTGAGAATCCCGGCTGGAGGGGCCGAGGAGTGGCGAAAGTTCCGACCCACGGCCGAAGTCTGCTGGGGCGCGCAGGTGCCCTGGCTCATCCAATGTCCCCGCTGAGGGGGCCCTGACGATATCCCAGCGGTGCATTGCGGGCCACCCGTCCACGGCCCCCTCGATTATGCACGGCCGGCCAGGCAGCGCGAAGCGCTCGAAGAACTCCGCGGCGGCCACCTCGCCCCAGCGCACCCGAGGCAGCGGCAGGCTGGCGGGCGAGCCGCCCAGCGGCAGCTCGGGGGCCAGCGCGGGGCTCGGGCGGTGCGCGTAGCCGTACCGGCCCCACGCGTTGGGAGCCAAGTCGGTCCGGTGTGCCCTCTTGCAGCGCCACACCTCCTTCGCCGTGCGCCTGTGCCGGAAGCCGCTCGGCCGCCCGCCCGGGGCATGGGCAAGTGGCGCAGCGCCGCCCGGGTCCATGCCATCGAGCCGCGGGCGCCAGCCGGCTCGCCACGAGCTCGAGCCCGTGCCCTGAGGCAGTCCCCGTCAGTGCAGTCGGGGCCCGTCACGAGGCTGCAAGAGAAGGATGCAGGGCCCTCGGGCGTTCAAATTGTAGCAACTGGCAAGCAGCGTCGGTCGAGCAGGGCGGAGCAACTACGAATCCGGTGCGTCCTTGGCAGCGCAGCCTATCCGTTTGGTGCCCCGGCCATGCTCCCTGTCGCGTTCCCGCGGCTCCTCCGCCTGCCAGGGGCGCGGGCCCAATCATCTTCCGCCGCGGTGGCGTTTCGCCCGCTCGCCTCCAGGCCCCCAAGAGGCCATCCGTGTCTTCTCGCGCCCGATGGGTGCCGAGACCTTAATTGGCGGTGGACAAGCCTCCCTTTAGTAAACCTCCCTTTAGTGAAAACGGCCTAGGACCGAAACCGACGGACCTAGACCCACAAAAATAACGGCCGCGACGCCCTCTCGCGAACCGAAAACGGCCAATTCACTAACCGACGTGTCAGGGCAGGAGGTCGATCCACATCCGATTTAAGATGGCCTACGATGGCCCAGGAGGCCCCTAAGAGAGGCCCAAGAGGGCTGCAAGATGACCCCAGAACGCGACCTTCGGGCCTCAGGATGGGCGGATCGAGGACCCGACTTATTTGATCGGTGTCCTCCAAGATGGCCCCAAGTGGCCCCCTGTGGCCCCCAACAGAGACCCAAGAGAGCCCCGAACGGCACCAATGGTCGCAAAATTGCCCCGACGTGGTCCCAAGATGGCGCAGGGAAGCTGCCAATAAGCTCCCGTGTCGACAGATCCGTGAAGGCATTCATGGTTGACTCCTGAGCCTGTTCAAGCAGATCCCGATATTCTGTTTGACGGCTGCATCCGCCTCTTTGCTTCACTGCGCGCCCCCGTACTTCCCTGATGAACGCAACTCGCCGACGCATCGCTGCTAGATGGGCTGGTGGGGGTACATTTTTTGGACGCCCGAAATGGGTACCGAAAGAATGGGTACACTGCCCAACAACAAAATTCGCTGTTTGGCAGGCGGCCTTCTGTCTCGAATGGACACAGGCCGCGGCGGCGCGGACAGCGAGTCCTGTTCAAAATGAACAGGACCTGCTGTTGGGCATTGTACCCATTTTTTCCGTACCCATGTCGGGCGTCCAGATTTTTGGTACGCGGGCGCGCGAAGCGGGTCGAACGCCGGACAAGCAGGGGCAGGCTGTGCTGGTGGGGATACGCGAAGCGTCAACTACACTAAATCATACCAAAGCCTAAAGAACATCAATGGTTTGGGAGGTCTCGGGAGCCTCTGAGGGGCCCTCGTCGAGCTCCATAAGCCCTTTCTGGGGGCGGGCCTGCTGCCGCGTAGGACCATCCTGAGCCGCTGTGGAGGCTTCTGAAATGTCCTGAGGCTCTCTTGGGCCTCCTGTCGCTTTCTGTGCCCGCTTGGGGCTTCCTGGTGTCTCTGTGGGGACCCGGAACGCTGGCCGGGAGGACACGGCACGCTGGCAGGGAAGCCTGTGCCACTCCACCGTTGTAGAGGCGGGGGCCCCTGGCCTGGGCCCCCGCTTATCGCGCCTTGAGGCGCGAATTGGAATGTCCTCAAGTCCCTTCTGACCTCCAGCCTCAGCAGAGAGCAGAGCAGAGGGCCAAACGCCCGGGGGCGCATCGGCAGGCGCTACTGTAGCGCACTCACGTGTTTCCTCCAAGCACGTTCTTCTTGCACAAGGTCTGCCCATCGCCCTTCTCAGCCTTCCCGGAATGTATGATAGAATTCTGGGGTTATTTGGAGCTTCCCGCGTGTGGTCGCTTTTTTGGAAGGCCAGATCGGTTCAAGACGAGCCAAGAGGCTCCAAGGGGGGGGCCTTTAAGACGACGGTCCAAGAGGGCCCTGAGTCGGTCTAAGAGCGCTCCAAGATGCCCACGATGGCTTCTAGACGGGGATCAAGAGGCCCCCAAGACGCCCTGAGAGGGCTCAAAGGATTTTTGGCGTTCTCACCTTTTCGGGCTTTTCACGCTCCAAGACGGCCCAGGAGGCCACCAATATCGCCCCAAGACGGCTTCAAAGGCCCTCAACAGCGCTTCACGACGACATCAAAACAGCCCCAAGAGGGGCCCCAGAGGGGGAACACGAACGGACATTTCGAGCCCTCCACCCCGAGATGACCCCCGAGACCGCCAGCAGGCTTCAAAGAACACCTCAGAAACTCCAGGAGGCCCAAATCAGGCCGGCCCCTAGAATCCCCCGAGAAGCCCCCGAGAGGCTCCCAAGACACCCCGAAGCCGCTTCCCAGAAGCTTCCGAGAAGCCTCCGAAAAGACCCAATGGCGGGATGGGCCGAAAGCCATTAGACCTGGGCCGGCACGGAAACGGAAAGAGCGCTTCAACAACTGGACCGAAATTACTCACACCACCGTTCGTACTGGGAGCCTTGGCGTTGAGAGCTTGAAAGTCACCCCGCGCTCTTGGGAGCCTTGGTGTTCAGAGATTGTTGTGTTGCCGCCCGTTCCTGAGCCTTGGCTGGGCCTTAGTGTCAGGAACTTGTTACGTCACCGCTCTCTGCTGGGAGCCTTGGTCTTATGAGCTTGTTTACGTCACCGTTCGCTCTTGGGAGCCTTGGTTTGAAGAGCATTTTGCGGTACCGATCGCTCATTATTTGGCTTCTCCGAGCCTTCTTGGGGCCCTCTTGGGCTCTCTTAGAGCCCTCGGGGCCCTCTTGGCCGTATTGGGGCCGACTGGGGGCCATCTGGGGCCGTTGTGGGCCCCTTTGGGGCGCCTCTGGGGCCGTCTTGGGATAATCTTTGGGGCCTCTGAGGCCGTCTTGGGCCCGTCTGGGGGCCCTCTTGGACCGTTTTGGCCCCGTTTGGGGCGCCTCCGGGTCCGTCTTGGGACGATATTTGGGGCCTCTGGGCCGTCTTGGGCCCGTCTGGGGGCTCTATTGGACCGTTTTGGGCAATTTGGGGCGCCTCTGGGGCTGTCTTGGGACGATCTTTGGGGCTTCTTGGGCCGTCTGGGTCCCTTCTGGGACGGAAAAGGGGAGAGCCCGAAAACCTTGCAAAAATCATAGGAAAATTAAGGTTTTTCGCCTCCTGAGGCCCTCTCGGGGGCCCTCTGGAGGGCCTCTGGGGCCGTCTCGAGACCCTCTTGGACCGTCCAGCGGCCATCTGAAACTCTCCTGGGGCCGTCTTGGGGCCCTCTTGGGCCGTCTTGGGGCCCTTGGGCCGCTTCACCTGGAAAAATACAAAAAACGGGCCATGGGAGCCGCCCGGGAGCCGCTTCACTCGAGAAAATACGAAGGAAACGGGCTATTAGACCATACGTCTGGGCCTCGCCCCCCCCCCCCTGGACCCCCCCTAAGAAGGGCTTCGCCCCAACTCAACGTCACTCGCTCGTACCTCGATCTTTCCGTCACCTGGCCTGGCACAGAAACGGAAAGAGCGCTTCAGAAACAGAAACAGAAATTACTCACACCAGTGTTCGTACTGGGAGCCTTGGCGTTGAGAGTTTGTTACGTCACCCCTCGCTCTCGGGAGCCTTGGTGTTCAGAGATTGTTGCGTTGCCGCCCGTTCCTGAGCCTTGGCTGGGCCTTGGTGTCAGGAACTTGTTACGTCACCGCTCTCTGCTGGGAGCCTTGGTCTTATCAGCTTGTTTACGTCACCGTTCGCTCTTGGGAGCCTTGGTGTGAAGAGCTTTTTGTGTTACCGATCGCTCTTTACTTGGCGTCTCTGGGCCTTCTCGGGAGTCCTATTGGGGCCCTTGTCGGGCCCTTTTGGAAGCCTCTTGGGAACCTCTTGGGGGCCTCTTGGGGCTTCTTGGGGGGCTCTGGGGGCCTCCTGGGAGCTTTTTGGGGCGAAAGGCTAAACTTTTCGGTTCGTGGTCCCCCTCTTGGGGCCGTCTTGGGCCCTCTTGGGCCGTCTTGGGCGCCTCTTGGGCCGTCTTGGGGCTCTCTTGGGCCGTTTTGGAAGCCTCTTGGGAGCCTCTTGGGCCGTCGTGGGGCGGTCTTGGGGGCCTCTTGGGCCGTCGTCAACGCCGTGAAAGCCGACAAAGCGCATATGCTAAAAATATACGTTTTCCTATGGAAAATCTAAGATTTCGGCCTCTTGGGGCCCTGTTGGGACGCCCGTTGGGCGCCTCTTGGGGGCCTCTTGAGCCGTCTTGGGCGGTCTTGGGCTCTCTTGGAGCGCTCTTGGGCCGTCTTGGGGGGGAACCCGAAAAACATTCAAAAACCCGAAGGGAAAACACGAAAACGGCCATTAACACGCAAGTCCGCACGCTTCGCCCCTCTCCTGGAACCCCTCCCTCTAGGGCTTCGCCCACACCAAAACGTCATCACTCGTACCTCGCTCTTTCCGTTACCTGGGCCCGGCACAGAAACGGAAAGAACGCTCCAGAAACAGAAACAGAAATTACTCACACCACCGTTCGTACTGGGAGCCTTGGCGTTGAGAGCTTGTTACGTCACCCCTCGCTCTCGGGAGCCTTGGTGTTCAGAGATTGTTGCGTTGCCGCCCGTTCCTGAGCCTTGGCTGGGCCTTGGTGTCAGGAACTTGTTACGTCACCGCTCTCTGCTGGGAGCCTTGGTCTTATCAGCTTGTTTACGTCACCGTTCGCTCTTGGAAGCCTTGGTGTGAAGAGCTTTTTGCGTGACCGATCGCTCTTTATGTGGCGTCTCTGGGCCTTCTCGGGAGTCCTATTGGGTCCTTGTGGGGGGCCCTTTTGGAAGCCTCTTGGGAACCTCTTGGGGGCCTCTTGGGGGCTTCTTGGGGGGCTCTGGGAGCCTCCTTGGAGCTCCTTGGGGCGATTTTGGGGCGAAAGGCTAAACTTTTCGGTTCGTGGTCCCCCTCTTGGGGCCGTCTTGGGGCCCTCTTGGGCCGTCTTGGGCGCCTCTTGGGCCGTCTTGGGGCCCTCTTGGGCCGTTCGGGGGGCCTCTTGGGAGCCTCTTGGGCCGTCTTGGGGGCCTCTTGGAGCGTTTTCAACGCAGTGAAAGCCGAAAAGCCGTGCATGCTAAACATGTACCTTTTCCCATCGGGAATCCACGC